CACAGCCAGGCATCTCTTGCATGGCTGCGCTGAACTGTGTACATGGATCTGACATTTGCCATATGCGGCATTCATCCCGTTCCTACCCTCCCCTGTCCCTGGGTTTTCCCTCCATTATCCAGAACTAAAGTGTACCAAGTTACTCATGGTTCTCCAGCAGCCATGGTGGCACTTTGCAGCAAAGAGACTCCTGCTGATATCCCATAAAAGCAAACAAGTAAAACTGGAAAGACTTCGCTACCAGCTCTCCAGAACCTTCTGAGGAGCACAGAATTCCGCAGTGAACCCATACATGCTCAGACTGGAGCCTCTGCTTGTTTTCCTTCTGCCCACTGCAGACTGCTGGCAAGAAGCATTATGGTGGCCAGCGCTCGTAGTATCCCTCAGAGGTCAATGTTGGAGCTGCTGTTGCTGTTTCCACCTCTTCATTGAATGGGGCTGCTTGCCCCCCCCCCCCCCGGCTGGCAGCCACTTACCACTAGTATTCCTCAGAGGTCAATGCCGGAGTTGATGATCCTGCCTTAAAGTCTTCATTAATGACCTGGGTGATGGGGTGCATTACATCCCCAGCAGGTGCACTGATGGTGCTAAGTGGCAGGGAGCAGCTGATGAGCAAGGCTGCTCTTCAGAGGGAGTTGGACTGTAGAATAGCACTGACTGAAAACCCACAAAGTTCAACAAAGGCAAATGCAACTTGGGTTGCAGTAACTCCATGCAGCAGCATGAGCTTGTGGACAACTGGCCAGAAAGCAGCTTTTCAAGGACTTCAGAGTCCTGGTGGACAGCAAGTTGAGCATGAGCCAGCAGCATGCCTATGCTGGGCTGTATTGCACATGAGTGCAGCCAGTAGATCAATGGAAGTGATTATTCTCTTCTACATGGCACTGGCAAGTCCACATCCAGAATCCTGCAGCCAGTTTGGGGCTCCCCAGTACAGAAAAGACAGTGACAAACAGGAGCAAGTCCAGCGCAGGGCCACCAAGATGGGTAGAGGGTGGAGCCCATGATGAATGAGGTAAAGCTGAGGGTTTGTTCAGTGAAGAAGAGAGGGCATCTTATTGCTGCCTATACTGGAAGATTTAGAGAGGACAAACCCAGGACTCTTCTTGGAGATGCACAGTGACAGAGCGAGAGGCACTGTTGCAGTCAGCCTGAGGCCGGTGACAGGGAGCATCTCCTCAGCAGACGGGGGACTGAGCAGGAGAGGTGGGAGCTGCAGCCCCGCAGCCAGCGCCTGACCAGGCAGCTCCTTGGACGGCCTCAGGGTGGTCGGTGCAGTATCACCTGCCTGATTGGCTGGTTGGGTTGCCGTGCTGCCGGGCAGGGTGGGGGCTGCTCCGGGCGCGGAAGCTCTGTAAGTGGCCTTTAACCCTAAATAAAGGTCTGTGGCTCACCCTCGCAGGGACCCTGCTCCTCAGTACGTCCACAAGGCACTGGATACAAACTGGAATACGGAAATTTCTGGTAAGATATCTGGGAAACCATTTGCACTGTGAGAGTGGTCAAAAATGGGAACAGAGTGCCCAGACAGATTGTGACATCTCCATCCTTGGAGACACTCAGCACTTGACTGAACAAGTCCCTGGGCAATCTGGTCTAAATTGTCCCTGCTTTGAGTGGGGGCATTGGATGGAGTTGCCTCCAGGCCTCCTGACTGCCAGACCTCCAGCCTACATGATTCCATGATCCTGTGACTGAGCTTATTGCAAAATGCCTGCAGATGAGACAAGAAGCCAGAGAACTGCTCTGGCTTCCCTGTGCTCTCCCAGGCATGGAGCCGCAAGCCTGCACAGGCACCAGTACCCGTCTCTAATTTACCGTCTGCTATTGCTAAGCTGCACCCTTCCCTGCACTGCTGGTGTCCAAGCATGTCCTTCAAAACTAAAATATTCCCTCTCATATGGGTTATTTTGTAAGAGTTTATTATTTGCAACTTCCAAGTCTCACTGTTGTGGTCTTTCTCACTCTCTGTGATATTCACACTGTGTAGGAATTAAATAGTTAATGTAGAGTGTGCTAATAAGCTAGTCAATACTTAGTCTCAAAGTGCAAGGACTCTTGATAAATGGCATGACAGGTGGCTCTGCATGGAGGGGTTGCCTATCCAGGTGTCCCAGTCAGCAATAAAATATAGATAACATTGACATGAAAGCAGAACAGGAAAACGGGAGGGGGAACATTTTGGGGGTAAGAACGGTATAAAAGAGGGACGACCGAAGCGGTCGGGGTCCGTGGTGTGACCCCTGCGTGGGAAAGCCCGGACCCCAGCTAGCTGGTAATACTTATTACCTTTCTCCTATCATTAAAAGCACAATATATCGATGGTATTTGCCTCTCTCTCCGTTAATTCAAAAACTGGACCTAACAACTGTCAACAAGAACACCTCAGCTGATGAATATGAGTATTTTATTTTCATTCTTTCTAGGTCACTATTTAATATTTTAAATGAAACTCAAACTCTTAACACCATGAGGGACTTTTCCAGCCAACCTTGGTGCATCATCACTGTCCTCCAGACAGCTTGCTGTCCGTCTCCACGCTGAGCACATCCTGCCTTCTGGGACGGGAGCGTGTTCCTGCTCTATACACCAGTTGCACAGACACTGCCCTAGCAATAAACACGTTGTCCTGACGGCCAGTGCAACAGGCACGCACGGGATCTGCAGGGTGGCCACCGCAAAGCTGCAATTCTTTGTCCTGTGCACCACAGAAATAGCTGGGAAATGACAGACCTGCTCTTTTGAAGGCACTTACAGGGGAAAAGATGAAGCAGAATAGGCAATGAGAGAAACACAGGCTGAAAACGTGGAAGGAGAGAGTCAGGGAAAACAGACAACACACAGCTCTCAGCTGGGAGCACATTTACATCTATTGGCATGCACAGATATTTAAGCCCAACTATTTGTGCCAGGCCTCCCTGAGCCAGGTTTTCAGCCATATGTTGAAGTAAATGCATGCAGAAAAGGCAGCCTGGGTGCTGCGAGTCTCACTGCAGGTCGGCAAACAGACAGATTTGCCTTAAAATATGGAGGTGTTATAAATTTCCATGCATTACCAGGCCGATCTCATATGATCGTAACCCATAGGAGATGGACTGCATCACCTTTTTTTTTCTGGGAAATATAACACAACATGAGCTAGAGCAACAGCCACAGTGCAGAGGCTGAGAAGCTGCTCCGAGCGGTTGAAGACTGACCCCCTGGGATATCTTTGAATTTGGGCTTTATACTGTGCACTCGTGTTTACCTGACTCATGGAAAGAGCAAGCAAAACCCATGCTTCAATAGGAATGTTCCCTGTAATCAAGACTTTAATTACAGGGGGCACCAGGTGCACAGAACTGACATTTTCTGAAGTCTGTCTTAAAACCTTAACCACCAAGCCTGCAGCTCTGACATTTGTAATGGATTTCACTCATGGCACCTTACACCTAAAATCATGCGCTGACCTAACAGGAACTGACTGACTTAAACACTCATGAAGCTGTCACTCTTACAACATTAATATACATCTGGGTAGACCTGATGTCAGTTTTCTGTGCAAATATCCAGAAAGGCAGCAGATAGCATAGGGAATGGATTACGGCTAATATTTATATGCAGAATTATTTGACTAATATGATTTGTCAGACTGTAATCTAAGACCTGCCAAATAATTACTATTCATCTTTTTCTACTGTAATTC